CGAAAGATAGAGCCGATTTTTGCACTTCATTAGAACCGCCATTAAACGAGCTTTAAAAGTACATACCTCTCTTTCTTCCATCGTACTTTGTCGCTGAAAAAGTTCATATTTTCTAGATCAGAGGCGCAAAAATCGGAATTCTGCCGGTATTCTCAATTTTAATCATCGGGAATCAAGTTTTATGCAATAAAAATATCATATTAGGAATCAGCGTCCCAAACTACGTCGAATGATATATATTACAAAACTTTTTGTTTATTTTTTGGTGAGAATCTCAGGAATTTTTCAACGTAGAAATTCGAAAAATGAATTCGAATGATGTACTTTGTTAGTCTATCCGACTACTTTGATTTTTTTTGAATTTCTACGTTAGAAAATGTTAAATTTNCGAAGCTTTTTCAACGTTAAATTTTTTTCTGATTGATGCACCCGGCATTGAAGATTCAGATTGTGTTGCTAGATAGAGTTAAGTATCAGGCAATTTTTGACAAAGTTTGGCGGTGGTACTGTATTTCTTTGACCTGCTACAGACGTTTTAGTGAAACGTATGAAAAATGAAAATTTGAAATTTTACTCGAAAAATATTTTTTCTCAAACAACAACCATATTCTTTTAATTCTTTTATCGCCAGTTTATAGCGCGTTTTCCACTCTACAAAATCCGGTATAAACAATATCTTCACTATACCTTCTTACTGAGTTGAGGAACGATCATAGTTTCAAACCAAAAATCAAATATGGTTAGATGCGCAATAAAATTCTCTATCGAACCTGCTACTCAGCTTTTTAATACTTTCAAATTTTTAAATCCGGCAGGGTCCTTTCGCGCTTAATCTTCACTTAGAATTTTTTAGCAGAAGCGTTTTAAAGCCTTCAATTCTCGCCATTTCATAAAATAAAATTCATATGTATTCGATTCTAGAACTCTAATCTATTTAAATAGATATCAGCTAATTCAAAACTAACTACTTACAGCCATGGCCATGAATTAGGCACAGCTTCTTGACCACCAACAATTCTAAAACGTGATGGTCGAATTTGTTGTGTACCACATTCTTGATTTAATACTGGTGTGTTTGGTGTTGTTGTCATACTAACTGTATTTGATACACAACATAGACGCAATTCAAAGCCACTACTCACTTCTGGGGTATATGTTCCGGCACAGAAGGGTTCGATTTCATGCCAATCATCCACTGATGTAGCCCATTTGCTACAGAGCTTACCATTGTCATTGATATCAAGAGTCAAACTACTAACGGTACCAAGCAAATAAAAAAATAATAGAAACATGGTGCTGTGTAACATTTTTGAAAAATAAAAGTGCCCGTTGATTTCTGAAGGGGTATATATCCTTACTTTAATACACTTTTCTTATTTACTGGTTCTTATTTTTTTGTTGTTGACATCAGGTGCGGATCATATTTCCTATGTATATGACACAATTATTTTGATCCTTTTGATAGAAGATTATAATTAAGATTCCAAAAAACTGACACGCCTACATTTTGCAGCAGAAAGCAAAAATTTAAAGATAATTAACTTATTTTCAAAAACTAACATATCAGTGACTTTCAAGTTCACATGGTTCTGCCAATTACAGAAACAGCATAACTTGTCTCTATGTTTTAGACCATAATAGAACTGAAACAAATTGACCTTGGCTAAAATAGAATTCTGTTCCGAACTGGGTAAACTTAGAACCCAGATGCATGCACATGACCGATATGGTTCTAGTACGATTTACCCCCTCGGTATTTTCTAAAAGGGGGGCATTTTTGAAGTTTTCCCTTCAAAACCTAAAATAACTCAATTTTTTACTTTGATAAACTTTTCTCTCATTTTCTGTATATTCAAAATTTTTCTTACACATCGTCTGGTAGAAGAAAGTATTTTCTTCACAATGAGACCTCTCTCAGAATTTTTGCGAAGATATAAGCATCACGGCAAATGCTCTGAAAAAAGTGGCCTGTGTACAAAATGTGTTTTTTCTCGAAAACTATTTTTTTGCTACCGGGCTTCATTATGCCACATTACGATCCTCTTAAATTTCATCCGATCGAGTTAAAAATTTAACCAGAGGTACTCAAGACACTATTGCAGAGGTATTTTTTTGGAATTTTATTGTAGACTTTTCGTTACCGAGTTATAGGTTTCCAAAATTGAAAAACTTGATTTTTGAGACGTTTTTCATTATTTTTCCTATAACTCGGTAAAGAAAGGTTTAAAAGAGAATTCAAGAATTATACCTCTCCGCTATGACCTTGAGTAGCTATAGTAAAATTTTTAACTCGATCGGATGAAATTTAAGGGGTGTCGTAATGTGGCACAATGAAAAGAAGCCTCACTATGAAGCCTTAGTGAGTTTTATTTTACAGCATTTCTACGGAAAACCCAAAATGAGGGGTACCCTTAAACTAACTTGGAATTTCTTGTTAGCCTTGACTAATTTGAAGTATACGTATGCTTAAATAGAATTTCAAGACAGCTTTGGGAAATTGATTTTCTCTCGATTCTTGACCCTATAAAGAAACTAGCTTCTCATGTTATCTCTCTCAATTATAATTTATTCTTCTTCTAGCTCTTCGCCTGTGTCGCAAGCCTCTCTTCCAGACGTTTCTCTTCGTTGTAAATATCTCAGACTTGTACAGATTTTAGAATTTATCATTGTTTCAGTCTTCTTGGAATGTTTTCACCTGATAATCTCATACACAGAACAGGTTTTAATTACAGACCAATATCGCTTCTTTCCATTGTCAGTATGGTGCTAGCCTAAAATTACACCTTTTAATTAAAATATAACTACCATCTAGTGCTTACATAGAACTCACTGAAAACATGTTTTTGAAAACAAAAAAGTGAGTTCAATCGAAAGAGTAGCTTTATCACGCCACATTTTTCTCGGAATCGATTTTTTTTGGGGGAAGAGTGAACTTGAAATAATTAAACAGAGCTTCGATGATGAATGAATTGTCTTATTAAGTAGAAAGGTAGTTTTTTTATAGAATGTAGACACCATTTTACTCTATAAATCCAACATATTTTTACCTAAAGTTTTCACTTAGAAAACTTGTTTTCTACAATTGAATTTGATCCCAAAGTGTACCGAAATTAATCATTTTATAAAGAATCCGTCTTAATACCTCTAAAGATTCGCAGATGCTGTAATGACCTAAGAGAAGCCACAGGGTAGAACGAGAAGAAACAGGAGGATTGTTTTGGACTAGAGTCGTACGGGCACAACTCTTATTGTGTAGAGAAGAATGTAGTGGAATTACGTCCAAGTATTCAAAATTTTTACTTAGTTTCTGTACGCTCATTGCGTGCGGTTAAACTAAGTGTATCTTGAAATACTTTCTAAACCATTTGCCGCTAATTAAAAAACTTCATTCATATTGTATAGGGAAGATACAAGCCACGATTTGTTTTGACATGGATTACAGTAGTACACATTCCGATCGTGCATATAAATCCTGAAAACTTTCTAGCATCGAAGTTTAGGCAAGAAGAAAAAAACAAATTTGTTTCGAAACTTTCTTATTGTCACTTTGTATTGTTGTTTCTTAGGTGTTCTCTTTTTCACCATCCTTATCTAAGAAATTTCCATCAACATTGGATTACCGTATTCATGAAATATAATCGTTATGTTTGCTTGTTTGTTCATTACAGTCTACAAAAGCTAATTAGGAGGTGTAGACTAATCAAAAAAAGTAGACGATAGTTGTGCCATTCAAAATGTTCATTCATCAAAACAACGCATTAAAAACACCGACTTCCCACGTTTATCAAACCGGCAAAAAACCGCCAATTAACCTCGGTTAACCGTCCGGTTGAGTGTGCGCTTTACCGTCTGGTTAATGGCAATTAACCGCAAACCGGCACAAAATACTCGGTTAACCTTAATTGACGGTTTTTTTACTGAACAAGCGATATGAGTATAAATCCTTTTCTGAACATTTTTTAATTTTTCTTTTGAGTGTGTGTTCATGTGTTCCATGTAGCAAAACTGTCGGTTAGTCAAAATCCATACCGGTGAAATTTTGGACTGTACTGTCTGCTTGCCAGGACTCTTAGATGTAGTCCGAAAGATATTTAGACTAAATCGAAGTTCACACTTCAAGAAGTGATGGAAAAAATTCTGAAGTTTTTCGATAAATCATGTTGTCCTTGTAGACATATAGTGATCACAAAACAAAACGGTGATTGAAAAAGAAACGGTTAACCATCGGTTCTCCGAAACAACGCGGTCAATTAGCGGTTAATTTTCTAAACCGCGGTATCAAAAATACCGGCGGTTAACTGCGATTAATTGACGGTTTATAGCAAACCGTGGTTAATCGACGGTTTTCTATAAAAATAGACGACATGGGTTAGAAACATTAACAAAAACGTCATCATTTCAACTTTTCATCGAATGTAGCATTCATTTAAGAAAATTTTTCAAGAATTTCAAAGTCATTTTTTCTTCCTTTGATATTTGCTCTCACCTAATTCTTCGCCTCTGCGCTAGAGTGTTTTCAGTGATTGAGATAATCGAAGAGTTTTACTGTTTGTTTTAAATCGAATTTTTTTCTAAAAAAAATTTAAAAAAAGGGAAGATTTTAACAACAAAAATAAATGATTGTTGACACAAAAATGGAAAGACGCAAAGACAGGTGAGAAACAGTAGAACACAAGATACAAATACTCTACATCTAAAAGAGACGAATAATCTCACTATTCGTAATTAATTTGTTTTGCACAGTCAGATAAAGTATAGAGAGGAGAAGAAGAGATGAATTTTTATTGGAGTATTATGGCACCGGTAAAATTTGTCCAACTAGCAAAAACAAACACGATATCCCAACATTTTCATACGACTAATTGAAGTTGCCTATAAAGATAAATACATTGACTAAGCATCAGAATCAACGGGATTTGTTAATAATCTCGTGTTAGCACCATGATCTCCACCTGAAAATAAAAAATCAATATAATAAAAAACTCAGTCAAATTATCGGAAGATCAAAATACATGTACCTGTTCCTGTTACTGGTGATGTTGGTGAAGTTGAAATATTTTTTGATGCTTGCTGTGGAGTAGAATAAGATTTTTTCTTATTTCGACGATAATATTTTACAGCAAGAATGATGATTATTATTAATGCTAACACTATTATACCAATTACTACTGCAATCCATGTGTTAGATAAGGGAAATTTTGTTTCAGTTGTTTTTGAATCGACTGCAATAAGAAAAATATGATGTCAAAACAAATCGGACAATTGCTAGAATTCCAATACCTTTTTGTTGCCAGAGGACTATTTTTCTGCACATTTCTTGACAATTTGTAGAATTCACACATCTTTGTTTCATCAGAAGACACCGACCATTTGAATCTTTACATTTGCAAGCAAACTAAACGATGAGCAGAAGAAGAGACATTCTCTCGGTTCATTTCTAATTGATTTATAAGTTTACATAACATCAGAAGTGAACGCGAGTGTGTAGAATAAATGATAACTAAACAGAAGACGATGCTTTAATTTCATCTTCTTTAGCCATTTTACCTGTGAATCATTCTTATTTCGCATACAGTTTATTTCAAATGCTTCATTGCATATATTCTCGTTTGACACATTATTACACAACGAGTCCATTTTTATACAAGTAGCACCACATAATACATATCCTGAAATTCAAATAAACGTCTAATATCACTCTAATTATTATCATAGTCAGAATATAACATACTTTGTCCTTTTGAGAGACATTTTGATTTCTCAAGTGATAAATATCGATTCATAGTGGTAGTAGTCGTCGTCATTTTATTACAATGATCTTCATCATTACCATATTGACAGTCTTTCTGACCATCGCACAACCATTGTTTTGGAATACATTTTTTTTCATAATAACAATCGAAACCATCATCCACGCTGTTAATCGTACACTTTGAGATATTCTTAAATGTGTGTGTGTATCCAGTAAACTTTTCTTCACAAATAAATGCATTAACTGCACAATGGATGCCGTCTTGACATAGTTGACGTCCAGAAGAACATTTGCCATTGACTAAAAAGAATGTAATAGACAATCCATTTTATTGAGTAAATTAAATTTAGTTTAGACTAATAACAGTCATCTACCTACTTGCTTGACAAATTCCATTGATTGCTTGTTCACCAGAAGGACAAATGCACGATTTATCTGTGCTATAGAAAAAAAAGAATATAAGTTTGATATTTTATAATTATTTTAAAAATTTAAATTTACCTTTTTTCTTCACAAATACATTCAAATTGATCACGTCCTAGTGGAATACACAGTTCTGAACAAGGTGATTTAGCACATTGATTCGTATCAAAAATAAAAATAGAAACATGGTGAATCGGAAACATAAAATATCTGACAACACATACTTACCAGTTGTCACCTGTGTTATTAGATTGATGAAGAGTTTTATGTCATGTAAATTTTTACTTTCATATTGTGCAACCTGAGCACTATAACTTTTCTTTAAAATATCTATATAATGTCTGCGTATATGATCTTGAGATTCTTCAAAATAAAACAAGTCATTCTAGGAAAAAAAAACGTTTTTTTTTCTATGACAATTTCAATTTTAAAAACATTATAAAACTGAGACATTTAAACTTACATTAAATAATGCCACTTTTGTATTTGTGACTGTATCCTGTTGTGGAATATTGTAGATTAATTTTGATGTTATTGTATCAAGTAAAAGTGTATTATAAGAATATACAGTTGAGTTTGAAATATAAATCAGATCATGTGTATAGGTATCATAAGCAAGAAATGATATAGTCGAATTTAACAAATAAATTTCTTTTTTAATAGTTCCGCTCAGATCACTAATGATTAGAGATGAAACGTTTGTTTCATTATTAAATTTAATCCAATATAAATATTGTTTAATGAGATCTGTAATAATAATGGGAATATTTGTTTCAACATTAGATAAAATAATTCGTTTTTTCAATGTTAATATATTTAATACTTTAATGTGTAATAAATTTGTAGATTTATTTCGAATTAAAAGATATAAATTATTTGTCATCCAATCAACTGATAAATATTCAATTATTTCATCTAATCCATCATACAAAATTGGATTTGAGTCAAGTGAAATATGTCGTTTCAATGCCTTGGATGAAAAATCTTTCTAAAATATAAATGATAAAATTATTTTATCAAGATTCACATTAGAAATTTCTTCATTACTTTTACACTATATAAAACAGCTTTGTCTTCTAATTTAACGCCGATATAGACATATTTGGTACGATCGTTCAAAGCAATGGCTGTTATATTTCCGTTTGTATCAATATTCCACAATTTTGATGTATCCTCTTCATCTTCGTCCTCCTCATCATCAAAATCATTATAAAGACGAATTACCGATTTATCATTCGAATCAAGTCCGTATATTAAATATTTTGGTTCTGTAAGATCACGACATGGAATTTGAACATCTTGCAGATAATCCATTGCACCATTTTCACATTGATTATCAGGTAATTTTGTATAACTGAATGTTAAACAATGCAAGAAACATTCATATTTAATAAGAATAATCATGAATTGTAGTTAATAATAAACTAACCCTCTTCGTCTTATCCATGTTGATGCCTGTTGACAATGAAAATCTTGAGCAGATGGAAGAGCAATATCGGATTTAGGCTTAAAAACACATAACAAATCTTTAGTACGTTTAAAATTTAGTTCGCATTGAAAATCTTTCAATTCACATAAACATGGTTCAGTACGAAGTAAAGAATGATGAACATCTTTTTCTAAACAATTTGCTCGCTCAGAACGACGTCTATAGAATGTTTTTAAACCATTTAAACATTTTGTAGAATGAGGTGTCCACTCTTTAAAATCACTTGGTAAACACGTTTTATCTAAAAATGAAAATATAATTTAAAAATATATTCAATTTTTTTAATAATCTTATGCATATCATTTACTTATCATGTGATTAAAATCTACACTAGACAATGTTATTGTTGAATTATCATCTGGTTTATATCCAAACATATTAAAAAATGATGAAATACCATTATTATCCGTTCCAACTAATATTGTGCGATCATTTGGAAAATGAATTCCATTCCACTTTCGTCCATAATCCGTCGAATAACTGTTAGTCAAATAAGAACGTAATGATTAATATACAAACTGTTTGTATTCATACATACAGCAAAGATTTGACTGAATCATTACCAGTTGTTGAAATCAATAGACTATCTTTTGAAATACCATAAGAATGTGTTCCTTTTTGTCCCTAAAGAAATTCAATGTGAAATAAAATTACTAATGCATAGTCTATTACATACCAAATGCCATGATGCACCACCGTCAGATGAGGTCACTGTATACGTCTCGTCGTTAACTGATCCTAAAAAATGACGTGTTTTTACGAAACGATCTAGATGAATAGGATTTTGACGCTTTGGTGCACTTCACATTTGAAACATGACCATCTCTAAAGTACAGATGTAACTGATCAAGAAAAATGGTGATCAAAGTCAACGGGAAGAAAATATTGAATGTATTAAAAATTTGAATTTGTAACAATGGCCAATGGGAAGGTCACTCGTGTGCATATACATACGAACAAGTTGATTAGTTACCTGTGGCAACTAAAATACCAGGAACATTTTGTGTAGATACGATTGATTGAATATCAATTGATAAACAATTTGTCTTAAAAAGAATATTCAAGAAATAATGACTTTTTCTTTTTATCTTAAATATAATGACGGAATTAGCTTACTGAGTTACATAAATTGTTAACAAGTGTTATATTTTGCCAACTAGTTCCATGATCAAATGTTATCACAGTTGAAGTTGAATGTTGTCTATCGTCGTTATTACGTACATTTGCAATATACACACCTAATAAACCATTTACTTGATAAAATGATAATTCGTTATCTGTACAACTATGATATATAAATAAATTATCATAGTCTTATTGAATCATATTTATTTTAAAAAAATTTCTTCTTACATTTTTGTACTTGTTTGATGACAAATAATATTTGTTAATAATGGTTTACGTTTATTTAGCTCATGAAGTACACAAGTATCGTCATTTATTGATGATTTAAAAAATAATATTAGATCACTGGTATGAATATCTTCTGTTGCACAATGAAACTATAAAATTCATAGAAAATAAATTATTTTTTCTATTATTATTTTATCCTTATTACTAAAAAGTTTGAGATTTGTGTGACGCTTGAGCTATGAGCCTCATGATGATGGTGTCATAGGACAAGAAAGAATATTTACTATAACAGAGAAGCGATAGTCGTCGCAGCGCACGGGTAGTGTACTATTATCCGTTCCAGACATCAAGGCACGCGATTGTTTTCTGAATAACTTTTGGTAGAAACAAGATGGAGACCTGCGGTTTTCGTCATTCGAAAGAGGAGACTTGGATACACGTTTTCATAACCAACATTATTTCCAGAAGAGTTCTTTGAAATAGGT